TTTTTAATTTCATTTCAGTGCTTCGCTAGTTGGATTCAGCTGCTTTCATATGATAGTAGACCAGTCTCTTGCGTCAATTTGTTTCTATTTTCCATTGAGTTTTGACCTTATGCTTAACGTGTTTAAGCATTTAAATACCAGTTGATGACACAAATTTGTGGTTTTGAGGCTGACTGGTTGTGCTGGTTTAACTGACAGTTCTTCCAGTGGAAAAACTGGCAGCCACCCTCTACAACTATCTGACAAAATGTTCTGCCTGACTTTCCAGGACTGGGGCAGACCAGGAGATGTGGCAGCGTTGGGTGTGTGTTGGCATGTGCCTGGACCGGAGGAGGAAAGCTTTGTTTTCCATCTTTTGTCCCACCTCCTGCACCCTGAGCTGCAACGAATCAAGGGCCATGTCTCTGGAGAGCAGCCAATGAGCAGGTGTACTGTCATTTCTCTCAGTTTTAAGTATTCAGACGCAATTAGGCACACTCACATAGATAACAAATAAAGGTGTAGCCTGTCATTAGTGATAAATGAGCTTTGCCTGCTTCCAGAAATTACATGACTTCTGTCTTAAATATCTGTATTTTTTTAAAGTCTAATTAGGGGTAAAGAGGGGGAATGTTAAATTCAGCTGCCAAGAAATTCAGAAATTCCTTGAACATATAAACACACGCGCTCAGTGAGCTCATGTGTTGCCTGATTCCCAGAGAGGAGTTGTTGCAGAGTCTCGCTATTGTGCAGCACTGCCTTCTTGGAGCTGGAAATCTGCTGCCCCCACTGGATGGACCACACGCATCCGACCTGTGAGCCCTACACACGCACACACGCACACACACACACACATATATATATATATATATGAAACAAAAACATCATGCAATCTTGTCATGTTTTGCTCCTTACACTTTGCTTCTTGTCAGGGTTTCCTCCATGGTGAATCTTGGGGAGGTCAAGCCGTATATAGGTGTTGACTACGGTATGAAAACAGCCACATAACACATATTTATAAACACTCAATCTCCCATTAGTTTCTGTTGGCAATGCGGCCACTCATCCTGTATTCTGTGCCCATACGGGGCTTCTGTATTTCTTCTATCCCCCCCCCTCCAGATGCTTCACGGGAGAACTACCGAGAGTCCATCTGCCAAACCATGAGACTGCTGCTACGTGAGTGAAGATTTTAACTTCACCACAATCCAGTTTCTTCTCACGCCAGATGAAATGTCTTTGCATAATTTACCCGTATCCACTTCTCTCAATCCAGATCACATCTTAGAGCACTCAGAGGATGATACAAAGTCGCTGTTTGTCATTATTAAGGTATCCTTCTCTTTTTATTCTTTATATGAAATGTTGTTAGTCTATCCTGCAGCAGGCCTGCAAAGGTCTCACAGAACCCTTTGTCTGTCTGCCTGACTGCAGATCATCAGTGACCTCATGTTTTTCCGAGGCACTCAGAAGAAGGAGTTTGACTCACGCTGGAAAAGCTTCACCCTCGTCAAGAAGTCCATGGAAAACAGGGTGAGTTGGAAAAGTACACAAACTTACTGGTTGTTTGTTTCAATGAGTCATTAACAAAGTGATTTCAATGCTTTGCTTTTTTACTTTTGCAGCTTCTCGGGAAGAAGCAGCACATTAGAGCTCTACTCATTGACCGGATTTTGCTCCAGCATGAGGTTTGTTTAATTAAAAAAAAATATTGCGGGTTTTTTGAAAGGGTACACATTACCGGTGTAAACATAACTTTCCACTCATGATTCACCAAAACAACACAGTAATAATTTGACAGAGAACACTATTTTCTTCACATTTTTAATAGATATTTCAGTATATTATTGTATTTTTTTTACTTAACCGCTGAAAGTCTGATGTCAAAAAAGTCATAACTGACATGCAATCTAGAATTTAAATGAAGATTGTATTTTTGTGTGAATAGATGAGAAAGATGGTTGTGGAGGGGAGTGAATATAAAGTGGTTCATCAGGATCTGCTCTGCGATCTGCTGCTGCTTTCTACCAGCACTTACAGCCAGGTAAAAAAATAATAAAGTAAAACACACATTAAAAAAAAATCATGTAACAATAACATCATACGTCCTTCCTTATACACCATGCAAGAACTGAGTCTCTGGATCTGGACTAGTGTGTGATTTTTTTTCTTCATATTATATTTTAATATTTGTTAATATGATATGACACAATTTTTGTCCCATCTAACAATGATGACAAAATCTTCCAAATCTTCCCAATTCAGTTTTGGATCACCTCCAAAATGTGTCTGTCTGTAACTGCTTGTGCAGGCCTGCTAACCACAAATAAACAAAACAAATCACGTAACTTGACAGAGTTAATTAAATAGTTAATGAAGAACTGATCTGCTGACTTCTATATTCATGATGGCACTTTTGATATAAGCGAAAAA